TCATTTCCCTTATCTAACATATACAGTGCATTTCACTTGTTTATCTTGCTCCATGCCTATTTCTCCCACTAGAAAGTAAAGCTCCATGATGGTGAGGATTAAAAAATTTTTATTTCCTACTCAGTACCTAGTAACTAATATATGATAGCTGGTCAGTAAATAAACTGGTTTATTATGATAAACCATATAATTATGATAAACCATATAATTATGATAGCTGGTTGAGTGAATAAACTAGGAAGGAAGAGAGGAGGAAAACCAGGATTATAAGGTTTGTTGGAACGAGAAAAGAAAACTTTTCAAGAAGAAAAGATAACACTGGTGCATTTTTTACTTGAGTCGCATGTGTTTATTTGAGATGTACTGAAGTCACATTAGTATGACCTGCACACCAGTTTGGCATCGAGAGTTCTGAATCAAAGTAAGGAAGCGAAGTTCCCCTGAGCAATGCCACTTCTTGACCCACCACCGCATATCATGGAATCAGGGGGGAAGAATGGAGAACGGATGGTTCAGCTGATGGTGGTGAAAGGAACTAATACACACTACCTTCCTACTGTGTGCCAATAATTATGCTATGTTATACAACAAATATTTACCACGTGCTTACCATATGCTAGCACTATTTTAAGTACTAGAGTTCCAAAGTGACTCAATTCCCTGATATGCCAGGAAATAAAACATTAGAACTTTGTTAGATCAAAGAGAATGAATATAATAATAGATGTACTGTACATATCAACATAACACAACATAAGCCCAACAGCAAAGAGCAAGTAACCCAACAGCAAACATAAACTCTGCTTAGGAAGGTCAGAGGAGGTTTCAAGGAGGTAGCGATGTTTGTTGGAGACCATAGAAAAATCAGTAGAGACTCACCAAGTAAGGGAACTCAATGGGTAGAGGGAAAAACTATTGTTTGGAAAACTTTAAAGTTTCAAACAATGAACATCAGTAGAAGCCTAAGAGCCTACCAACCCCAAGCCCAAACAAGAGCCTACAAACCCCAAGCTTTAATATAGTCTTGTCAGTCATATAAAATTGGAAACAGGAGAGAAGAAGAAGCCTGGGACTGGAGCTGATTACAACTTCTGTTGCTTGCTTGGAATAGACAGCAAAGAATGAAACAATACTTAAGTTGTATATCCTCTCAAAACAGTTTGACTACAGCACCACTCAACCTAACCATATTTGTGCCTTGGGAGTCAAAAATCAGGTTATTATCTCCTCTGTTTCATTGGGTAAGAGGGATGGGGTGGAGGTAGACTTCCATTCCCCCAACCTAAACATGACTTAAGAGCTTGATTAGATTATAAGAGGGAAAAGGAAGAAAAGAGGATTCTGAGTGATTTCTGGTTTGGTCTACTGTGTAGAGAGTGATGAGTATATTGTCTGAGTTTGAGATTTAAGACAAGGAGATTATATAAGAGGAAGATAAGCCCAGTTTGGGGCATTTTAATTTTGAGACGTTTGTGTAGCACTAAAATGATGTTTCTAGTTGTAACTTGGAATACAGTTAAGAAGGCCAGGAGATAGGTTAGGATCTGCCATCTAGGAGATCACTCATCTCAAAAGTAATTTCAATGAAGTGATGGGACACAGCCTAAGACAAATGAAATTGGGAAGTTGGCAAGTCTGGACCTGTTCAGCACCTGGTCCCTGGAAAACTTACCCCAATGATGGCATGTTAGAAGGCCTTCTGATGATACCACTTGGCCCAGATGCCAAACCTCTATGTACATACTTCTTCCCTCCTACCAGGATTTCTCCCCAATGGTCAACCATCCTAGACTTACCATCTATCATTAAGTGAACCACCCCAAATATCAAATTATCAGAGTTTTTATTGTTTACACATCACTACTTGTTTCACTTATCTCCAAACATGTTCAAGTTCTCTTTCAAAACACACAAGCACACACACACACAAACTGCTTTTCTATTAGCTACTGAACTCTCTCTCCTCTTTAGTTCACAGCCAGATCTTTTAAATAGCTTCCATTTGCAGTTTACACTTCCCATCTACTCATTTTTGCCTTAAATCCTTTCTATTTGGGTTCTCTTATAACCACATTAAAAAGTGTCTCTAAATTCTGCCAGTGACCTACTTCTTGCTAAATCCAGTGACCTTTTCTCATATGCCATCCTTTATAATCTCTGTGTAGAATTTGACAGTGCCTTAAATTTCTCTTTTCTCTTGAACTTTGCTCTCCTGGTTTTTGTTTTTTTTTTCCTCCCCAATTTCTTTAACTTTTTTTGATTCATCCTTTCATTTACGCACTCATTCAACAAATACTAGACACTGAGTTTTTTTAACTCTTAAAATGTGTCATCATATGTGAGATAAAGTAGATGGGTTTGGATTCAAGCAAACTCATGGGAAACTAATAGATTAACAGAGGTTTGCATAGGAGCATAGAATAAGAATAAGAAGAGTTATTCATACAATTCAGATTTTGCTCAATGACATTAAGTTCTGATGTGCTGGTGAATCACTCTCACATAGGACATATATACATACTCATACTTATCAAGTACACCAGACCCTTCACTGTTCTTTTCTATTCCCTCTTCTGATCTACACATGCTTTATTTATATATATTAATCCCACAGCTCATTCATCTTCATATCTTTCTCAGTTAAGGAACTTTTCTTTCTACTTTTTCTATCTATGTGACCTTCAAAATGTGATTTAACCTCCCTGTGTCTAGTCTGCAAATAAGTATTAAGCTGCTATTTTTTAAGGTGACGTAACATATTTTGATTGTCATCCTTCTACATGTTTATGCTAAAGTCAAACTTTTTGATGATGATAATAATAATGGCTAACATTTATCACACACTTAATATGAGCCAGGCATTGCAACAAGTACTGTCATGCAACAGCCTTATGATGTTGATATTGTGATTATTCTTATTTTATAATCATGCTACTGAGACTCTAGAATGTGATACATGGCTGTGAAGTCTAGATTCTATCACTAAATTCCTTGATTATACATTCTTTTTTTTTCCATTTATTTTTATTAGTTGGAGGCTAATTACTTTACAACATTGCAGTGGTTTTTGTCATACATTGAAATGAATTAGCCATGGATTTACATGTATTCCCCATCCCGGTCCCCCCTCCCACCTCCCTCTCCACTCGATTCCTCTGGGTCTTCCCAGTGCACCAGGCCTGAGCACTTGTCTCATGCATCCAACCTGGGCTGGTGATCTGTTTCACCCTAGATAATATACATGTTTCGATGCTGTTCTCTTGTAACATCCCACCCTCGCCTTCTCCCACAGAGTCCACAAGTCTGTTTTATACATCTGAGTCTCTTTTTCTGTTTTGCATATAGGGTTATCGTTACCATCTTTCTAAATTCCATATATATGTGTTAGTATACTGTAATGGTCTTTATCTTTCTGGCTTACTTCGCTCTGTATATTGGGCTCCAGTTTCATCCATCTCATTAGAACTGATTCAAATGAATTCTTTTTAATGGCTGAGTAATATTCCATGGTGTATATGTACCACAGCTTCCTCATCCATTCGTCTGCTGATGGGCATCTAGGTTGCTTCCATGTCCTGGCTATTATAAACAGTGCTGCGATGAACATTGGGGTGCACGTGTCTCTTTCAGATCTGGTTTCCTCGGTGTGTATGCCCAGAAGTGGGATTGCTGGGTCATATGGCAGTTCTATTTCCAGCTTTTTAAGAACTCTCCACACTGTTTTCCATAGTGGCTGTACTAATTTGCATTCCCACCAACAGTGTAAGAGGGTTCCCTTTTCTCCACACCCTCTCCAGCATTTATTGCTTGTAGACTTTTGGATAGCAGCCATCCTGACTGGCGTGTAATGGTACCTCATTGTGGTTTTGATTTGCATTTCTCTGATAATGAGTGATGTTGAGCATCTTTTCATGTGTTTTTTTGCCATCTGTATGTCTTCCTTGGAGAAATGTCTGTTTAAAGGATTAATCTCAAAAATATACAAGCAACTCCTCCAGCTCAACTCTATACATTCTTTTAAAAACCTTCATGTTTTCTTTAATTAACTCTTATTTAATTAGGTCACGCTAAATTTGTGTATAAAAGCAGAGGTAAATTCTTGCAGGTGAGAAAACTTCAAAGAAAATGCTTCTGTAGATGATAGGAAAAATACAGGTTGGCTACAACTGTGAAAGGAAATAGGACAAAGTTCTAGATAAATGCTAGGATTATACAAGCAAAGGAAAAAAAAGATTTGCTGGTTTTGTTTGGCAACTTCTTTCGTAATACTGCTGTATATGAAACTCTCTTTCTTTCCACGTTCCCAACCCTGTTACGTCAGCGTCTGTCCTCGACCAGCTTGGCCACTGAGCTCTGTTTGCTGCCCTGGTTCTCCCCAGTGTACCTCACAGCTTCAGTTAAGAGCCTAGAAGGAAATGCTTCAGTAAGACAACAACAAAATTGCAGAGAAAGACAGGTAGAACACTTGAGCTTGCCTGTAAATGGAGTGTTTTGATAGAATTGGATTTAATCCTTATTTTGGCAGTGACGTGTGTGGTACACTGGCCAGGAAAGGAAGGAGAGGTCTGCATAGCAAATGGCACGTTTCCATTGTTTATGTTCAGCATTTTAATAACATTAGTATTTGCACAGCTGAAGGAAAGGAAAGCACCCTGAGGATAGACACCATGAGGAACTCCAGAACTCTGCTAACCAGAAAAACATTAGTTGGGAAAGAGCCATAAATGTTAATAAGCAAAAAGTACCTCAGCCAAGATAAACCTAGTATCGGGATACTAAATTCCAAAAGGAGTCAACAAGGAGCACACTGAAATGATTAGTTTGACAATTCTTAACTCTACTTTTTTATTTTTATCATGAAGGTATCAATACAGAGATATTCAGAGACAGGAAGTTGGAGATTTCTCCTCAATATAGTGAAAACACAAAAGGCTTTAAGTGAGAAACAGCTTTTAATTTCATCTTTGTAATTTATAAGTATGATACATGTGGGACTTGACTTAATCTCTCAGAACCTCAGTTTCCTCATCTGCAAAACAAAAGAAATACCTAGTAAATATTAACTAAAAAAGAAATTGTAACAGTTCCTTTTACTATTAGTTGGTGCCCTTAGGCCTCTATTGTCTTGCAATATCTCATTTTAGCTAGTAGGACAATCACCACAGCTTTGGTTATAACTATTCTGCCCTTGCTTTGGGCCAGTAGGGAGATCAATTATAAACTGGATCTTATTCATTATAGGGAAATAGAAACCATGGAAGGCATGGCAAGCCAACTAGCTATTAAGGAGAATGCACAGGGCTTTTGGGCTTCCCTGGTGCCTCAGCTGGTAAAGAATCAGCCTGCAATATGGGAGATGTGGGTTCAGCCCCTGGGTTGGGAAGATCCCCTGGAGAAGGGAAAGGCTATCCACTCCAGATTTCTGACCTGGGGAATTCCCTGGACTATATAGTCCATGGGGTCGCAAAGAGTCAGACATGACTGAGCAACTTGGGCTTCCCTGGTAGCTCAACTGGTACAAAATCCACCTGCAGTGCAGGAGACTCCAGTTCGATTCCTGGATGTGGAAGATCCGTTGGAGAAGGGATAGGCTACCCACTCCAGTATTCTTGGGCTTCCCTGGTGGCTCAGCTGGTGAAGAATCCGCCTGCAATGCGGGAGAGCTGGGTTCAATCCCTGGGTTGTGAAGATCCCCTGGAGAAGGGAAAGGGAGAATTCCATGGACTGTATAGACCACTCCTATGCTGCATTCCACAATCAGTCTAACTGCTGGGCCTGTGGAGTGCTCCCCTCTCGATCAGTGGAACGCTTCCCATGGTTGGCATCTCTACTTCAAGGAAAGGACTTTCTCCAAGTCTGTGAATACCTTTGACAACAACAATCATATGTGATGCCTCTTCTTAATCTGATGATATCTAACAGTCCTTAAATGGACTTGTGCAACACACTGTACTTCTACTGTGGACATAATGTGACTGTTAACTTTGCTAATTATTCTGTTTTTGCTGTTTGCCTCCTACATCTGTAACAGTGTGACTGGATTTGTTTCCAGCTGCAGGAAGGCTTTTAAGTTACAAATGGGTGCTCAAACTCCTGCCACTGCGGCAGCTTCCTCCAACTACTACTTGGGGCCCCTGGATCAGAGACCCTCAATATGAGGGTTAGGAGAATATGTTGCCTCACCAATTTAGGGATGACGCCCCTTTCCCTAGGCAACATAATTCTCCTAAAAGAAAAGGAGGGAATGAGAGGGTAACAGATAGGAAGGCTAGGGGTCTCCAAATGGAGGAAATAGGCTACAAGTGTCAGACATTTTCTCTCTCTCTCTCAAGCGGCTGGAGGAAACAAACTATAAGTGTCAGATTTTGGCTTCCCTGATAGCTCAGTTGGTAAAGAATCCACCTGCAATGCAGGAGACCCCAGCTTGATTCCTGGGTTGGGAAGACCCCCTGGAGAAGGGAAAGGCTACCCACTCCAGTATTCTGGCCTGAGAACTCCATGGACTGTATAGACCATGGGGTTGCGAAGAGTCGGACAAGACTGAGAGATTTTCGCTTCACTTCACAGGGATTTTTGCAGAAACCAAAGACAGCCTCATCAGCTGTGAGTTTTTTTTACACATTTTTTTATCCTTTCAAATAGATTCTTTCCTCCCACCCTGTCCGAGACCCTGAGGGCTGGTAAAGAACTGGTCACCCTGTTAGACAGGCCGTTCAGCACTAGCCTGGGGGCTGCCCTGTTTGGGTTCTGTGTGCTTTAATCCAGAACTGAGCCTCAGTGGTGGTAATGTGCTGCCTGCCCACCTAGCAGACAGTCAGGCCCCACATCCTGGGCCCCCTCCCCCTCCCCTGGATCCTGCCCTACTCTCCAACTGCCCCACAGCCACCGATAGACTGAAAATGGGACAAGGAGAAACACAGAATTAAAAAAAAAAGAAAAAGTGCTCAGTCAGAGGAAGATCAATGTAGGCCTTGTTTACCACTCTAAAAGGGCTCATGTTTACCACTGGCTGAATAAGGTTGTCTTTCATGGGTCCTCAAGGTGTAGACTTTTGCTGGGTGGTATATAGGCAGTAAAATTCACTTTATTTTTTAAGATTAACTTAATATTTTTTTGTCTTTTGGCAAGTGCTAAAACAGTTGGAAATGCAACTGTGGCAGGCCCAGAAATGGAAAGAATTTGGTTATAGGGGTGTTGAAAAGCTCCATCAAGAACTTCCTTAACTAGCCTCCTAAGGCACCAAATTTCACCATTAGAATCCCATTATTTTGCCTACAATAAAAGATTTTATCATTATCTTTAGCACCAATTAGATCAAAATACTTAGGCCTTGAGGGGACAATAAAGTACCACTCTGTTTAAGTTGGGATGCTGAGTAGGGCCGGTGCAGTGCTGGGGCCCCGGGCTAGGAGAGACTCCTTCCCAGTGTACAGTATGCGCAGGTGCAGTGGGGGGATCCAGGGAGGGAGGCAGTCCTGGGTCCAGAGGTGAGGCCATCGGGCCTGCAGACAAAGAAAGATGGCAATATGACAAACTTGAGGGAAGTTTAATCTAGAGCCAGACCTCTGTGTAGAGGAAACAGGATTATATTAACTGTGACTTGATTTAAAATTCAAATGCACTGGCTTTCAGAGAGGACTATCTAAAAATGCAGAATAATAACCATTAAAGGTCTTTTTAGAATTTAGCTGTTGTGTCATAAAGCAATCGGATAGTATAACTATCTTAAAGCTACAATACTAGTGACTAATTCTTTCTTCTTTTCAGAACAAATAATAACTCAAAAACCAGAAGGCTATCAGAGATATGTATAAATGAGTTTAAAATAAAAGGCAAAACAATTTTAGGTGTCACTGAGAAATAAACAAAAACAAGTAAGTTATATTCTTCAAAGCTTTTAAAATCTTTTAAAATAAACTCTTTTCATTTTGGAAACCAAAATCAACATAGTAATTATTGTCTTTTAAGGAAACCATTTCAACCTTTAAACTGTATAGAACACAAAATTGGGAACATATAAAGGTGACCAAGTAGGAAAACCATCTTTCTAAATATATTTTATTTTTTTACTGAATAATGCAGTTGACTGTTCTAAGGTTTTAAATCCTTTCATATTGCAGGAATAAAATAGTAAAAGGAAAAATTAACTCTGAACTTTTATTAAGTATCAGGAATTTCTAAAATTGTTACATGCAAAATGCCCATGGTTCTAAGTGGTAGATACTGTAACCTCCATTTTACAGAAGAAAAAACTAACACCTTGAGAGACTTGACTAATGTCACACCACTGTAAATGCTAAAGCCAGGAATATACAAGCAGTTGAGAGATCTTGAGAGGAAATTTAAATTCAATGACTTGATTAACTGTTTCTCAGTGGTATTTAATTAATAACTTCAATGCAAACATTTACTTAGAAACAATTGCAATAGGTTAACTTAAACCTGCCATTTACCACCTTGAACTGTCGAGCCTATGATCAGCCACCTATTTCAGCCTCATACAAAATAAACCTCTCCCTTGAGTAGCCGCCATCATCTTATAATCAAGTGACTGTTTGTTTATTACAATTCTATTTCCCCAAGTGTTTGACATAACAGGAAAATAATTCCAAACTCATGCCAAACCTTAAATGTATTCTACAATTAATCTCCAAACCGCTCATTTATTCATTCATTTAATGAATATTGAATGTCCACCAATATATTAGACACAATTCTTGCTGCTGAAGATTTAAAACCTAAGTCCTTATGAAGTTCATATTTTAATAGGAAAAAGATACCAGATAGAGACAGATTGATGGAAGGATGATAGGTAGATGGATTGATAGAGATAAAATAATGTGGATATGTCCTTGTGACAAAAACTGAGAGTTATCATCCAATAATCATTATAATCTTTGTAAGTTAAACTCTGAATTTAACTGGGTCCATGGCCACCCAGAATAAAATTCACATTTCCCAATCTCTCTTGAGCTGTGTATGGTTATGTGACTAAGTCCTGCCAAAGGGAGGTAAACAAAAGAGATCTGAGTCATATCAGGCTATGTTTGAAGGATATCATTCCTCTTTGTTTTTCCCATTGACTGAAATAAGAGCATGCTGACCAGAGCTGAAGCAGTAATTTAGGCCCAAGGGTCTTCATTTTAGGGACAAGGGAGCAAGAAGTTAGAGGTGACTGAGCTTCTGATAATTATATCAATCACATTAACCCTAGATTTTTTACCTATGGGAAAAGTTCATGTATGAGAAAAATAAATTTCCATCTTTTTGAAATTTCTGTTTTTAGGGTTTTCTGTCACACGCATTAGAATTTAATCTAAACTAATACAAAAATATTTTAAAGATAGAGCAGAGTAAGGGACTAGAGTGTGGCACTGTGTAGTATTTCAGACTGAGGGTGATTAAAGGGTGACTGAGGAAGGACTTTGAGGAATCAACAGTTGGGAAGAGTTCTGAATGCATGAGTAAGCCAAGTGTTAGCAGGATGAGAGCATTCCAGGGAGTGGGACATAGTAAAAGAAAAAGGATACAGCAGGAACATGCTTCTGTGTTCAAAGATCAGCAAGGTGGCCAAGATGGCCTACCTTCTCAACTTCTTATCCTGATTCTCAAACAGGAATACTTGACTCCAGACCTTGAAGAGATAGGCAACTTTGCAGGCATTGTTCTCTACAGGGTCTCTTCAGGAAGACTCATGACTCAGCTATGAGTCTAAACTTTAACTCAGATAGATTCGAGGCTTAACCTTTAATGCCCATTACAAAAAGCTTCTCCACTTCATCCAAATATCACCCATTTTTCTGAAGTTAGCATAGGTTCTCACTCTTGCTTAAGGGATGGCATTATTTAAGGGATAGCTCTGCCCCATATTGCTTTCTTTCTTCTTGAAACTCCTTAGACATTACTGTCAGTGCTTTCACTTTAATTGTTAATAATCCATCATTCTGTTCTAATTCAAGTACGTATTTTTTGCCACCTTGATTAAGATGAAATGTAATAGTTATATCTTCAAAAGTTTAAAAAATCTCTTTTGGCTATTAGCTCTTCAAACAGAAGGTGCTCCATAGAAACTTTCTGTATGTTCATTCAACCATCTCACAAGATAGAAACACAATGGAGAGAACCTAATCTTTCTTGGTTCCTCCCTTTCGCCAGGAAGATATGAGTAGCTGAAGTATTTGGTGCTATATATAGTCAGTTGATGTCAGCTGGATGCCAGTCTCTTCAGAAAGGCTCAGTCTCCAGTTTGAGTCAGAACTAGGGACCATGCCGTCCCAGGCTCAAGGATAAAAACCATCGGGCCCAAGTGCCATCCATAGTCCATCTCCAGTCTTTCCTCCACAAATTGGGATTCATCCTTCCTGAAAAGCAAGGTGAGTATATTGTTTCCTAAAATGTTGTATTAGTCAATTGTCCAAGGAAGTTCAGAGCTGTGACTCATTAATGGGCTTTCTTTGCTTTAAAGGACAGCTGTTGATGCCAATATTAAAATGCTGCCACCAAAGAGTTCTGATTTAATCTGGTGTCCTGTCTTCATTCTTAACAGTTTGCTGGAACTGAAGGCCAGTAAGGAAGCAATGACAGGTTAAAATAAACTGAGAAAGTGAGAGAGGAAGGGGAAAGGAAGCCAGCTCTTTCATTGTTTCTCATTGCCCAATAATGATTGTACTAGTATGTAGATAAGATGGCCTGAAACTCTGAGAATCAGCCTCTGTTCACTGTGACATTGCCTGTCAATGAACAGCATACTCTATCACCAAACAAGGAATGGTATTAGAGCCTTCCAGGAGAAAGCAATAATAAAGAACAAAGATGCTCTCCTTCAAAAGGATGATTATAAAATATTCCAAATGAGTTCTTCACATTGCCTCAATAATGTTCCTTTATTTTTAACAGGGAACAAAAAAAAATCATGCTATCACATAATACCATGGTGAAGCAGAGGAAACAGCAAGCATCAGCCATCATGAAGGAAATCCATGGAAATGGTATCAATGACAATCCTTCATAGCATTAACAGCTCAGCACTAATGTAGACTGTTCCTGATATTATTTAATATTCTATAGTTTACTTTCTTTAAATTCTTGCTATTCTGTCATAACAAACCTGGAGCTCTAGGGGGTGTGGAAAAGCCTATGGTAACTAATCCTTTTGTAGTCATCCTTTCTCATTTGAAAGCTATTTTCAGATGAACAACTGTTCTAAAGGAATGAAGCAATCTGACAGCTGATGTACATTCTGCTTGGCTTGCCTTTCACACTTCACATTATAAGTTAATATCACCACTTTCCGATCATTTATTTTTTTCTTTTTCTGTTTTTTTTTTTTCCAGACAGGTCTCATGAAATCTTGTGTTCGTTGTCCATCCCACCAGATCTATATTGATTTCTTTTACCATAAATTACATAAATTATTCAAAATCTGTTCTACTATCCCTTTAGGAAAAAAAAATGTTGTTAAATTAGAATTCATATTAATTGTGAACTTCTTTAACACTGAAATAAGTCTTCATATTTAGTAACTGATTTACCAAAACATTTTGTGTGGAAATCTATTTATAATTTCTAGGAAAATATAGATTTCCTATAGTCTCAAAACATACAACTCAAAAAAATTTCTAATGTAAGATGCAAGTCTCTTCTTTAAGTTCTAGCAAAAATTCTAGAAACTAATACTTTATATGTTGCATTTTGATTGTTGTAAAGGAAATTCAAATTTGACTGTTATAAAAGAAATTGAGCAACGGATAGTGCCAATTTTAAAAGCAAATAAGTAGAATATCTAGATTCCTTTAAGGGCTGATTTGAGCCATTCCAGAATGTATTTGTGGAGTTTTCAGGGCATCTTCTTATTTCCCTTCTATTGACAAGGAATGTGACCTTTTACCTGAACAATACTGAAACCTAGGGAAATGAGATCTGGTGAAGGCAGCTGGGACCAGGCATAAGGGTAGCATTTTCTTCTCTCTCTCTCTCTTTTTTAAACTTGTATTGGAGTATAGTTGACTTACAATGCTGTTGTTAGTTTCAGGTGTATAAAGCATAGCATTTTCATACTTCACCTTCCATAATGCGAGCTGACTAGAACCAATCAAAGATTCTGTTAGATGCTTCTCCCATAATGTAGTCTTACTTAAGGATTCTGTTAGTTAAGTTTGTTTTGTTTTCATTTTTTGTAATACAAAATCACCATACTGTATTCAACTTAGTCCTGTGCTTTGCTATCATTTTGAGTTAGCTTGAAATAAAGAGAAGATAATTCTGAATCAGACCCCAGAACTAAATTTGTACCAATGTAAGGTTCCAGAATTCATGCTTCCTTTCATTTTTTATACTTATTTGTATCTCTTGCTTCATGTAGTTTACTTGAAATTGTTTTGACAGATTCTCTGATCAGTAAAGCAAATATCATATAATCATTTGAGTTTGTGACTAAACTTACTTACCTTCAAACTAGGCTTGGGATAAATTAGCATTTTCTAATTATGTCATAATCATAAATCAATCCATCATTTTAATTTATTCCCAGTTTAAATCATGTGTTGAATTCTACTCTATTACTGATATAGACCTATAAAGAGTATCTTTTTCTTTTTTTGTAACATAACTTTAAAAATGAAATATAAAGAAAAAATACAATTATATCTCAAGGGATAAAAAAATTCTCAAAACTACTATCTCACCACCAACTGGTCCTGGCCATGTAAAGTCTGCTAAAGCCTCCCTCCCAAATCACGGGTAGATTTCCAGTCCCTTAAGTAGAGTCACATGCTCTGCCTTAGTTTGGAGGTCAAGTACTACAGATAACACATGGATAATTGCAGACTCTTTCTTAACTCATCTCAACTAAAATAGCTGTAGTACTTTTGGAAATAAATAATCTCCCTCTTTTATTTCCTCTGACATATTATATGGAACTTTACTATTTGTATATGTTATATTGTTTAGAGATGTGGAATTAGAGGGCTATCATTTTTCCTAAGGAGGCAGAAATGAGACATGGACTTCACAGAAAACTTTTTTGGGAAAAATTCTCCAAATTTTCAAACACTTCATACCAGTAAAAACCTGGACAATGTATGATGAAGCACACAACAGTGTTGATCTTAATTCTAAGACTAAATAAGTAAAATTTAGACTGACTTGTCTTTTATAAAAATGATCAGAGAAATTCTTCTCCGAGTCTACGTTCTTCCATTCCCTTCTCCCCTTGTGCATCAAGATTCTTGTGTGCGTTTTTTTTTTTGCAGTATTATAATTTATTTATTTTTTACATTACTTTTCAAAAATATATAGCCAGGAGAATGAAATGTGACAATGAGATGGCTAAATGAGTTGCTTTCTCAACCTGAACTAGAAGTTCAGTCCAGTTCTTGTTGTGGGGAGAGAGACTATAGCTAGTAAGCCTTGAAATCCGTCAATAGAAAAATACAAGAATCAAAAGAAGGGTTTTTCATCACAGCACTCAATCTGAAGGAGAAATAACCTCAAAGAATTACTGAAAAATCCTATCCATACAGACTAGGATACATTGAACTGGATTGCCTGAGTAAAAATGTAGATGGCTCCCTGCCTCTAACAAACCCCAAACTGTTTATTCATTATGGAGCTATAATGCTGCTAAGTCACTTCAGTCATGTCCGACTGCGTGACCCCATAGACGGCAGCCCACCAGGCTCCCCTGCCCCTGGGATTCTCCAGGCAAGAACCCTGGAGTGGGTTGCCATTTCCTTCTCCAATGCATGAAAGTGAAAAGTGAAAGTGAAGTCACTCAGTCCTGTAAGACTCTTACCGACCCCATGGACTGCAGCCCACCAGGCTCCTCCATCCATGGGATTTTCCAGGCAAGAGTACTGGAGTGGGGTGCCACTGCCTTCTCCAGGAGCCATAATGATTTGGTGCCAAATTATATACCAGAAGCAAATATACTACACTCTCAATAGTAACTAATAGAAAGTATCCCCTAGTACTAAGGCAGACCGTCCTCATCATCACATCATGATGATCATCATGGTCATCATCATCAGCATCAGAAGTGTTAGAGCTGATGGTAGTAACTGTTTAGTGCTATGGCTGTGATACAAAACCTATAAGCATTAAACAGAAATATCAGAGCCATGCTGTTACCATCTAACAAGTGCTATTCTAAAAGACAAAAACACAAAAATATTTTGCCATTATTGGTGCATGAATTAGTTACGGAGGCAAGAAAAGATGGCTTGTAACGGTGGGTAACGCCCACTAGTCCTGTGCTATTTACTCCTGAAGCTGTACCCATTCTCCAGTGGCGATCACGTTTCTCTCTCAGGAACTCATTTGAGACCCAGGAAGGGTAAGGGGTGGGATAAATGAACAGGAAGTAGTAAGTCGATAGAGAAAGAGAAGGGGAAATGAGAATGGAAGGGGGAGAGGCACATTCGAACAACTGGCATCTGTCAGAAATGGGGTGGGGGAAGGAATAGGAATTAAAATCACATGAGAACTGGGAGTATGCTGGCCCCTGATTTCAAGCACAAATACACTTAAGAAGAGCTTTCAGAAATAGAAAGATTACTGTTTCAGCCACCCTACAGTTTTATCACTTGGGTTTTGTGAGGGCTTTTTTGGTATGTTTTTTGTTTTTTCCCCTCATGACTGGTGAACAGCAACAGTACATGGAAGAAGACTGAGCAGATTTTTTTTTGTGATTTCAGGAAAAGAGGTTAGTCTGTGGTCTGAAAACAGGAAGCCAGGTTCTAAATGGAGTGCTATTGTTCACATGGTACCAGGAGCCCTGGGTTCCAGACCAGACATCTAATTCCCCACCTGAAATTGAAGAGGTTGGGTTTGTTGAGACATCTACTTCTAAAATTTCATGACTCTAATGTATTGAGCTATGTGTATTTGAGTTTCCCCATCAATAGCAAAGGCAATGATAATATTGACACAAATTGCAGGAATGCTTTGAAAAGCATAATCATGATGTCTTAACTTTCAGATGAAAGATTATGTGAGGACCCCTTTTACTTTTCCTATACAAGCATATCTTAAACTGTAATTGATCAAGTTATCCGTATAAAAATGAGGACACAAGGAAGGCCTTAAATATTATACATCAAATGTAAAAAGTCTGGGGGAGAAAAAGAACTTAACCTAATGCTTCAAAGTACAGGTCTGAGAGTTTCCTTTGGTTTAAAATTTCACATTAGCATTCTTATAACCCTGAGAAAAATCATGCTTTATTTTTAAAATCAGTGTGCAGTAATATGTTGTAAAATTGTGGATATTTCTAAACCTGCCATAGATTTCTAAAACCTCTAATAAGGTCCTCCAGAAAAGTAGCAGCAGAGAACCAGGCTAAATTCCAGTTTATACCAAAGTTGAAATGATAATGTTTAATTCTTGCCATAATTTCATCATCCTAATTTCTTTATTGTTTTTTTCACTCTAACATACTCCAAATGTACATTTTACAAACAGTTCTGGTTGAATTACTGGTTTGTGTAATTCAATTTGCATAGTTCAATACATTGGTAATCTCATTTTTTAAATGTTTATAGATTTACACAGTTTATAAGTGGCAATACTTTTAACAGTAAAGTTTTTTTTTCAGCATATTAGTATTCATTTTATTGTGTTTTAAAATGTATTCATTTCAAACTTTAAAATATGGTAAATGCAGGGACATTTGTAACTATTAGGTAGAAGATGATAAAAAGAGACACTGAAGAAGATGATAGCTGCTAAAACTAGTTTCTTAGTTTTAATCCTTGGAAAAACAAAAATCTCTGAGATTTAGGTAATTCAGTATGAGTTTTAAAGTTGCAGAAAATAATCCTTGAGTTTTTCAGCTATGGAAATGGTTATTATGTTACTGTATGTATCTGTGCTTTCAGAACAGTAAAGTTTTGAAAACTTTATAGTTGAGAACTCAAATCAAGGCAAAGAGATATGAAGTAGGAAAATACAGAATCCCAGATGAATTTCAAAATCAACTTTTTTCATGTAA